TGTGTCAGCGAGTTCCCCCAAGTTGCCTACCGGCGGCTCCTGCCTTTACGAGAAACCGAGCCCGAAGCAGGGATGCAGATGCGATAACGCTCAGGTAGCACCGACACAGGGGTCCGATTCTGCCGCGGCTGCGGAGCTTGGGATCTGCCGGGTGTCCTCCTGGCAGTGCCGTCCCCGCCGCGGTGACGGGGGGGAGGCGGGACACCCAGAGCCAGCAGGTGCATTTGATACTGAAGATTTCGGCGTGACAGGATTTAGTAAATGAAAACTCAGCCAACAGGCATCAGGAGAGGGATTGTTTGACGCAGGAGAAAGACTGTCCCCGATGTCAGATTGCGCTTTAACCGGATACTTTGGCTCTCTTCCATTTTCCTAGGGGAGGGCAGGCAGGAAGAAAGGTGTAGGGGGAGGGAGCGTGTTACAAATGTTTGCTCAACCGAACGTACATTTGGCCAAGTTACTGCTAAACTGAGAAGGTTTTTGTTGTCACCCTTCGGCAGATAACTAAGCTAGCTAGAACGGGCTTGAAAACATCTCAGGCAGAATCCCAGCTTCGAGCAAGCTGTAGGAACAGGCCAGCTTCCACCAGGTCACAGCCTGCTTTTCCAGGATAACCAAAATGGACGACTGACAAGAATTGCATTTCTTGCATTTTACTTGTTCTTATTTGAAACACGTCCACTGGTCAGGTATCAGCTGCATTGACAATAGTTAATTTCAAATGAAGTAGAAAATTTGCCCTTCCAGGTAGATACAGACTATTGAAATTCTATGCAGTACGTAGGTAATAAAACATTTTTAAAAGCAGAAGAAAACCTATACAATAGATGTGGCTTTCTCGGTGGATTTTTTTTATGCTGTTATGTGTCTAATCCAGTACAAAATAAAACATCAGTCATCCAGTAGTCTCTGAGAGGGGAGGATCATGTAAGAAATGGTCAAACTCTGTAGAACCAGCTTAAGAGACAAACTTTGAATTTTTGGCAACAGAGGTGTGTAGCTGCAGACTGGAACCGAATCTTTTCTGCCAACATTAGTGAATAGTGCTGAGAGCTCATGCAAAATAGGACAAGCTAGACCCTTGACATTTTTCTCACAATTGTTGCTTTTTAAATTGCTGCCTTTGCTTGCAGAAGTTTGTTGGATTCATCCATTATGCATGTCCTAGAAATTTGATAGAGGTCTCATATGTTCCTTCTAGAAGGATAAAGCCAGATGTAGTACCCTCTTGTAAAGGTGTGGTTACTGGCTTGAAATGTCATTAAGTGTATTATATGGTATTCCTCTGACTTGAAACTTTTGAATGGGAATTTAAAAATGCTAGTCCTCTTTGATTTTAGTGAACGTTAGAGACAGCACACAATTATTCATAAAAAAAAGGCTCACAGAGTTGTTACCAGGTCCTCTAGTAAAGATTTCATCTTTTCTGGTGCGAACATAATGTGTTGAAGAAGGCATTGCAGAGAGACCTTGGTGCCTGCCTTTTTGAGAAGGGTTTTAGGAATATGACTTACTTCAACTAACCTGTTCATCTGCCTACCAGATTGTGCTCAGCCTGGAAGTATTCTGTGCTTTTTTCTGTTATTTCTGAAAGAAAGGTCAGCAATATCAGTGCCTTTGTTTTAATCCTGCTTGATGAATAGCTATTTACTGTGATGTTTTCACCTACTACAGTATTCGGTTAGCTGTTCATTAAAAACTCAGGAGAAGGTGCCATCACTAATAGGCTTTCTTCCAGCATCTGCATTTCCTAGTTCTCCCTTCAAGTTTGGTGTGAATAAGCCAGCTGAAAGTAGGATAACATCTGAAATACGTATGATAAAGCTAGCTTCTTGTATTAAATATTTCCATCATCATTATTATTAATAATAAATATATATACACACTATATTAATTAATAATTATTAATAATATTAATAATAATATCTACTTCCGTGTGATTTAATTGACAAGCTACACAAATCTTTGTGGAGATATGCTCTGTCGTGTGTGAAACAAACATGGAATACAGATACTACTGATGAAGTTTTGTTATTGATTTTCATTCACACAAAAAGTATATGAAATAGAGTCAGATAAAAAAGTGGAGACCTTGTCCTGGTTTGTATTTTTCTTCCTTTATGAGAAATGCAATTTGAAATCTAACAGGAAATTAGACTGGAAGATTACCAACTGCATGGCTGGCTTGCCATGAAAGATCAAGTGCCTGTGTCTTTCATATTGCACCCCAAAGCAGCTTTATCAAGTATCTGGGATTTCATGTGGATTTAAGGATATCAAGTATGACATCAGCAGCTTCAGCAGCAAAAAAATATTCTAAGGTACATGGGGTAGAAAAGTTACCCGAGTTCTCATATAGTGTTCGGAAGTTGAGGATAAAGAACCTTTTGGATTGTCAAAGTGAAAAGGAAAAAGAAAGCTACAGAAGCTAAACCGTCCGTGCACAGCCTTGCTGACTGTTCATTTCCTAAGGATCTTTCCAAAGAAGCATTTAGGAGGAATGCTTTTTCAGGGCTAGCCTCTGGAGTGCTTCATCATGTCAGCTACCCATTGCACAGGAGGGTAAATTAATGACAGCATACGTCTTACAAAAGCCCCTTTTGGATTTGCCAGTTACCTTACCTGGTACATAGTGTGTCTCTGGGGAAGATTACTCAGAAGTACCTACTAGGCTGTCATTTGTTCATACAAAAGAGATCAGAGTTCAGCCTGTAAAACCGGAGAGGTAGGGAAAGAGGAGTGCTCAAGTCTTTCTGTCTGTCCTACTTAGACGGAAAACTTAGTTACCCCAGGGCCAAAGTCACACGGAGCTAGTTTCACTGGCTTGAGGACTGCGCTTGGCAAAGATCTGTCTCTCTGCAGAGGGATCATAGTACTGTGCCTCTTGACAGAATGTGATTTCTTAAGGCCACATTTATCCCAGGGACCTTGTCAGGAGTCCTCCACAGACTCTGGTATTCCGTAGTTGTCCAAATCAGGAAGAACCTGTGCTTGTGAAACTGTGCTGGAAATCATTCAGCTGTTTACATGTGATGAGAAGCTTTTAAACCAGACTACCTGAAATTGGTTAGCTGTTTCTCTTTAAATTGAAGCTGTCAGAAAGATTTCACTGGTGACAAAAGAAAAGAGTGGGGATAAGCCATGACCAAGGAACCCTCTATATGGCATAATATAAGGCTATTTGCCTATTACTGGCAACAGCAACAGGGAGATTCAGCAGCTTTAGAAAGTTTAAATGAAAAGTTTATAACTGTGTGTAGACCTGAATATCTATTACAGCATCATCACAGGCGTCATCACAAAAGGCAGCTAAACTTGACTATTCATTTCAGAGGCCACAATCTTTTCCTCAGTTTGTTTGAATATATTTTTATGCACCCACAAGTTTTGGCATCTGCAGATTAATATAATTTGGGCTCTTACCGATTCAATAGATGGAATTACCTATACACCAGAAAAGGTTGCATATAGAAGCTGCAGGTGTTCCATATCTAACGCATAGTATGTTCAAGAAGGGACAAACTGGAGCAAGATAGGTGAAAACATTTGGAGCCTCAGGTGTTCAGGTCAGAGCATATCGCAAGAGAGAGATTTGGCAGATATCAGGATGGAAAAGTTGGTACTTTTTACAGCCTTTTGCTCTATTGACAGTGCGGCTGTAGTTTCGAAAATTAAGCACATCTTCCAGAAAGAGTGGAAAAGAACAGTAGGGAAAGTGCTTGTTTCTGCTATGGGGATGCTGTGTCTTTTGAAGTCAGTGGGAGTTGCTTGCCTACGTGGTCTTTGAAAGGGAAAAGAAAAAGTCAAAAGTCTGCAACTAAAAGACTGTGTTTACATTTGAAGTGGAAGGACTTCACCGTGATTACATCCTCTGCCTGGTTTGTTCATTCAGAAAAAGCCGAATTAGAACTGCTGGTGTAAGTGGATAGACTGAGATTTGGAGCGAGGGTTGGCGAGATGTTCCTGGTTGGCCTCATTGCCGTGGCCCTGTCAGAACACATCCCATAGGAACTAAATACTTGTGAAAATAAGTCACATTTCATCCTTCGTGCTTTTTGAATCGAATCTTACTTTGACAGTTTTCTGGGTGTACCAGATGATTGATGCTGTCACACTGCAGATAAAATTTATCATTCTGTCACTTCTATTCAATAGTTTAGCAGCATTTTGGTGCAAGCTAGAATCTGAAGCAATGTTATACATTTTTTCTGTGATTCACCTTGGTTATAAAAACAATCCATCCAATTCTCAGTGATTCATTGGCAGACATTTCCTAAATATGGACATAGAATGAATGAATAGGTTAGTTGAACCTGAATATGTCTTGAAATACACGTGCTGTATTTCTTTTTTAATATGCTACAAGGAGATATAAATGAATATAGGATCAGAACCTTGTGAAATACATGAAAGGAGAACAGTTATGTTTAGTCACAGGCATAATTGGCCTAGTTTCATAATAAACATCGTAGGATAATACCAGCTTTTCACAACAACTACATGGGATGTGGTGAAAAGCTCATTACACTGAAAAAAAAAAAGTTTGAGCTCCTGAAATTTCAGCATATAATAATGTCAGAGTTTTTACTTGTAAAGATGGCCTGCAAGGACTGTGCTTTTTTCATTTCAGGGCTGAGGCCTCAAAGCAGCATTTAAACGGTCTTGTATCATCCATGATTATTTGCAGGTCATAAAATTGCTCTAAAAAGGAAAGAGACTGACTTCTGGTATAGCAGGAATTCCATTATACACTTTAGAAATAGATAATTACCTTATCTTCAAGTGTACTTGACTTGAATTTATCGTCGGTATGAAATTATGAAGTTGCCTGTGTCAGAAGTCACAAGTTACTGCTGCTGACCCCAGAGAAATAAGGTCCAGCTCAGGGCAGAAGCAACGAGAGCTGAACTTGCTTGTTCATTCAGAAGCCAGCTGCAGAAGATTGGGTTTGGTACACTTGCACATGTGCTACATTAATTCTTCTTTCTGTGTTTCCACAGGCCTTGAATAGGGGCATTGCTGCTGTCAAGGAGGATGCTGTGGAAATGCTGGCCAGCTATGGGCTGGCATACTCCCTAATGAAGTTCTTCACGGGTCCGATGAGTGACTTCAAAAATGTAGGTCTGGTGTTTGTGAACAGCAAGCGAGACAGGACCAAAGCAGTGTTGTGCATGGTTGTGGCTGGCGCTGTAGCTGCTGTATTTCATACCTTAATAGGTAAGGTCATTTCACGTCTAATTAATGTGTCTTTTAATTTGCTTTCCTCGCCTGTTCTTCAAACTGATGAATCTGTAGGCTTAAGATTTCATTTATAAGCGCAACAGGAGACGCAAAAGAGATGAAGTCATGCCCATCCATGCAATTTCTATTACTTTTTAAACAGGTTGTTTAGTGGCAAATTCTAACCCCAGGGCTCTCCTGCCCGGCAGCAAAGCATGCTGCTGATCTCTTTCGGTCAGGTGTGTGTGCCAAACTTTGGCAAGGTTGACAGGTTGCATGAAGCTGGTAGCTCAGTCTTAACTGTTAGGTAGTGATGATCAACTAGCAGTATCTGCCTGAATGGGTTGAGCAGGACTTCAAGGTGTGCTTGGTAGGGCTGTTTGTCAGAACTTGGTGGCATTGTCGGTGTACTCCCTCTGTACCTATCCCTTTGCCTGTTATCTCACAGTACAAAACTCTAAGCAAGTAGGTGCCAGCATCCTCATTAAAATACCAGGTATTACTCTACTAGTGCTAGTCGTCATCCATTTCTGTTGAGTAATTAATCTGTAAGAGAAGGAGTTACTGAGAGCGCTTTATGCCAAACTGAGACCAGCTCCCTGAGTGCACTCTGAAACAAAGAAAATGCACAAGCAGATGTGAACTGAACATAAGAAGTAAGGCAGCCGCAGAATTTGCTGTTTTCTGAGAGCCTACAGAAATGGGATATCAGCCCTAGCATCAACCACAGCAGTAAAAAGCCACATGATCTGGAAGACTTTAACTTCATCGTCTCCAAGAACTGCACCGGATTCTCTGCACCTTCTGGCTCATTCTGCAGAGCTGCAACCTCTGGATCTCAGCAACGAGGAACAGGAGACACTGGAAGAAGCAGCAGAGGGTGCATTACAGTCAACAGGTAAAATCCTGGGAGCTCTGAGGGTTGGGAGGAGGGAAGAAATGCCACAGCCTATGGTGGCACGTGTTGGTTGACAAGGCAGTAGGGTTAAGTTGGATGACCAGCAGTAGGGGCTCATTCCATCACAGAAAGATGAGAAATGCGAGTATGATGGCAATATCCAGAATTGCTGTGAAGTAACAGAGTGGCCTGGAAGTGAGACACTGTTCATTATCAGGCTGTTAATATCTCAAGAGCAGCACATGCTGCCGGTCATCAGGTAGAGTGGAATGGAATGGAATAGGAATGGAATGGAATGGAATAGGAATGGAATGGAATGGAATGGAATGGAATGGAATAGAATACAATACAGTACAATACAATACAATACAATACAATACAATACAATACAATACTATTTTGGTTCCTGTCCAAATAGGTAGAAGAGCCATCTGGCAATTACGAATGCCCCCTGCTCTTATCCTTTAACAGGCTGCCAGCTGTATTCACCAGCTTTATGTGCCTTCCAAGCACTCCAGTTTGTTTGACCATCGTGTCTTATTCCACCACTGGTATGGCAGCCCAATGCTGTTTACTTTTACTCCATGTTATGGTCATAATAGATACTTACAGTGACGGCTCACCAGCCATGGCAACTCTGTGCCAGGGATAAGCTGTCGCTAATTTTATGGGATGAATCCATGCATTCAAGTTAATTTAATTCACTGGTGTCGATTGGTCACCGCCTCAACGTGTTTACAGTTCAGGCTGCTTTACTGAGTCAGTGTTATAAACTTTGGGCCATTTGTACATTTGGCTCTCATATTTCTTTGCTTGGAATGTTTCTTCAGCCCCCAGAGATGCTCTTCTAGTTGCTCACTTGTTTTCCTGCCAGTGCTGGTCAAAGTTTTTGGCTTTGCCAGCTGGATAAAGAAATATTTTCAAGTCATCCAACATTTTATTTTAAGCTATGATAGATTTTAAGAAAATTTAAAGTATAACTATCAAATTTTCAGGTGAAGGACATAGCTGGATTTTCCATGGGGGGCTTTTTATTGAAGGGAGGTGTTTGGGGCAACTGTTGGAAAACATGCCAGGTAAGTTTATTGCTTTTGCCTGGAAGTAGAGCCCTGCTGAGTTCAGAACCTCTGAAATGCCCTCTCTGCAGATATTGGGGGAAAAAAAGTGAAAAAAGAAGGCTGTATTTACCATGATTTAAAGTCTTGAATTAAAGGGCTTCACACAATCTTTCAGCTGCTTATGATGGCAGACTGCAAAATGTTGTTTAGTATTTTAACTTGTCTCTGCCTGAAAATATGTGGAGGCCACAGCAGAGACTGGCAGAGTGCCCAAGAGAATGGAGTTAGTCAGATTCTAGCACCAATTGCCTGGGTGATGTTGCCAAGTTTTACGTTTCAAGTTTCCTTTGAACCTGTTTCAAATTCTGATTATTATTCTCTGACCCACAGATGCACAACCTGCCTAGCAGGAGGAAGAGGAGGAGTCCAGTGACAGACAGGCAGCCTCCTAGGACCTGCAACTACTGCCCAGCATCTGCAAGCCTGTCACAGGCTATCTCCAGGAGACACAAATACAGGTTACTGATGCTTGGCAGATGAAAAAGAGAAACACACAGCACCCAGGGGACTGAATTTCTTCCACATGCCGCGTGTGTGGGGCTAAGGAAGATGGCATGACTGTCTGCTGTGGACTGTCGAAGCCCAGGAAGGAACAGGGAACAAAGCCCAGTGAAATAAGGAGGAGTACCGAAAGTCAGAAGGAAGAAAACAAGTGGTGATAGAAACACAGTGACCACAATGAATCACCACATTTCCAACTGTGATAGAGACTATTTGCAGTCTGCACACACAGCTCCTCACAAACAGCAGCCTTTACTTGTTTAAAATATCAAAACAGACTGTTTCACCCACCTGACTCATGCTTCACTGCTTTCACCAGCTCCCCACTACTGCTTCCCCACCGGGACTAACGCAATCCTCTGTGGGAGTGACTGCCTGGGCCAAACCACTCAAACTCACAGTTGCAGGCTCTGGGTCCCTAAGTCATTACTCCACCACATTCCCATGAACATCCACAAAGTCCTCACCGACAGCTCCTACCACTCCTCTGTACAGGTAGCCGTAAGAACCAAGGAACAAGCTGACCCTGACCAAAGGGGTTTGAAACCGTATTCTCGTCCCACTTACAATGCTGCTGCAAACCTTGGTCAGTACAGTATTCCTGGAGTTGTCCTTTCAGATGAGATTTGGAAATAGAAGATATTATGCTGCCTTCCTTCCCTTGTGCTATTCTGGGGGGAAGCTACTGCCGCCAGTTAGGGTTTCCTGGTGGGAAGTTCACCATGCAGCCAGGTCTAAAGAATCTTGTTATTTCAGAAATTGGCTTTTGGTGAGCATATTGGGCTGTAAGAGGAGGGATTCAAGATGCTAAGCCTGTCTTGTGTGTATTTTTGACATCTTACTAAATTACCGTCTTGACAGAGGAGAAAAATCATTTCTAGAACATTACACTAACATAATTCATTTCATGCTGTTGCTGGTAAGCCTTCCATACTAAGTGGGTCCTTTTAACACCAGTATCATGAGAGCCATGCACATTTTCTGTGGCAATAAAACAGCCTTTCGCTAGTTTACTGAGAAACAATATACTGAGAAACAATATACTGAGAAAGTTTATTTCCTTTTGTATATTAGTATTACTTTCCACTGCTCTCTAAGGTTCTGGAAATGACAAGGCAGAAGTTACTTTGGGGAAACTTCCTCTTTGATTAAGTAAACATCCTGAACTGGTGCCCACTACACCTGGTTAAAAACTACATGGTAGATCATTTGTCATCAGCGGGAAGAGAAGGTTGGAACTTTAGTAACCAGGCACACCTAGAGCAGACTGAATGGTCAAGACCTGCGAGTGATTTGTTTTGTGCCAGTGTATTACTGACAGGCCAGCAGGCACAGACCACCCCCTGCACAGATTACACAGGGGAAGGCTTTAGCAGTTGTCAGTAATGATATAAATGTTCTCCACGGTAATTCCACTGATTCCTTTGAACTTCCCACATGTATGGTCACTGCACGTACATGAAAGATCTGCATAAGAAGCGAGACATAGGTGTAATCCCACCACTTCCATTGTAACACTGCTGGAATTTTCTGGAGACTAGGAGTTACAGAGTGGATTATGACAACCTGAGCTATTTTTTCTAGTCAGTCTTGTTCCAGCATGCCCACTGTACTGGCTCGTACTAAGCATTTTGCCCTGGAAAAAGATGATGGCACAGGAACACAAATAAGAATATAATCCAGGTTTGCTTTTTTTTTTTTCTTTTTCTTTCTTTCTAAAGTATGATAAGTTGTTATTCATTCAAAATGTGTCCCAATTCATCATCTTCTGATGACCATTCCTAAAGCAGTAACATGCTTACCCAGCTGCCCCAACCCTTCTTCCACAACAGGGGCAGTTTCTTATCAGCAAGGTATTTAGGGCAAAGGAAGAAAGCCTATGATCAAAGCATGTGGATTTTAGAATAGCAATGACTGGTTTTTATTTAAAACAGGCTAATTTTGAGACTTACGAGTTGTTGGCCTACCTAAAGATATTTCAGAGACCAGTGGTCATGAATAGATTGGGGAAAATCAACTAATGCAATTTTGGAACTAGAGCTGAGTACAGCAAAAGGTGATTGCAGTAATCAGTCTGCATTGAGATGCTCGTAAGATGTTTTTTTTTAAATGTAATTTATTGCTATAAGCAAAAAAAAAAAAAAAGCCTAAAGCACTCTGATCATTTGGGCTTTCACAAGGGGGACACAGGCTGTTGCTTCTGCTTTAAGTCAGGCTAATCAAAGACGTAAAGAAATCTATGTACCCTGTGCCATCTCCAGATGAAGCTTTGCCATTCAATTATTTTTCTTTCTTTTTTTTTTTTTTTTTAAAAAATGACATTTTTCTATTGCCTAAATCACTTAGCTGAACAAGCTCCTGACCAGCTTCAGTTTTGGCCACGTGAACCATCTTTCTGACAAGCAGCAGAATAGATTTTTACTTCTCAAGTCTCTAAGTTCATTTTTAAAACTCTCAGCAACTATGAAAATGGTATGCCTCTAAAAAGAACACACTTTAACCCAGAAACATTTTTGGATTTTTTTTCTCCCTCCAGTAAAGCTAATATTGACATACGTAACTCTGTGTCTGGAAGTAAATGGTATCACTTCCTATGAGGGTTTCTTTTTGTTTTCTTTATGGTGTGAGTATAACATGCTGGGTAGTAGACAGCTCCAAAATTACTGCGGTACAGCTTTTTGTTTGAGACTGCTGGTACCGTCAAGAGTGTGTTCAGTTGTTTTAAGAATGTATGAAGCTTATGGGGTAGTAATCGGCTTGTCAGAGAAATCGGTGCAGGGAAGAAGAGATCCCTTTAGATATGGAGTTTTCAGCATCATTTCTTAAGCTTCTGGATCTTAAAACTCAACCGGAAAAGCCAAAAGCAGGAATTCCTGCTTAAATTCTGTAATAAAACTAATCCACAGGCATATCAAAATAAATGAGCTATTAGAGGAGAGCAAACAGGCAGCTTGTCTTGAGAGTTTGACTTCTCTGTTTTGGTTGAAATGATGCAAGGATTGGGAAGAGCCATCTGCTTTAGATTCATGTAATACTCTTCAGCTCTGTTGTATCTGTTGTTTTGTACCATGCTTCATAATAAGTTTGTAGGGTTGGCCAAGGTTAAGTTCTAATTGCATCAGCAGTTGCTTTATTCACAGCTCAGAGACACATGCCTGTATATTTGACGGTAAATCTCAGCTTGCTGAGTCCTTCTTTCTGAGGATGGAAACATTCATGGACATCAGCAAAAGTGATTGTGTGCTTTCAGTAACATGTGGAATAGTTAACTGTTTTAAAACTAGCTTTTAAACTTAGCCATTAAGATTTTAAAATCAAAATCACACTGAAAAGTGCAGTTAGACTCTTTTTTGGGGTGGGGGAGAGAGAAAAGCAATCTTAAAGCTTACAGAGCACAGTGCTGATATCCCTAGAAATCTTAAAAATGTGGTGCTGTGGGCTGTGATGATACAAGTCCCTTGAGAGTGTCCTGCCAATAAACTACAACCATGTGGTCAACTCTCTGTTTCTAGAAGTGAGAGCAGTTCAGCCTCTGACCCCTCTGAATCTGTGATTTTTTCTGTGATAGTAAACTTAAAAAGAAAAAAAAAAAAAAAAAACGGCTTTTAGAGCCAATAAAGTTACTTTTTACTCACTTTCTAAACACTCTAAAAGTCTTATTTAAAGCAAGTGAGGCCGAGCAAGTGAAGTGCATGGAGAGCAGGGAGGGTGACTTCCCAGCACTGCCCCTCCACGGGAGCAGGTTCCTCAGCACCTGGACTGGGGGTATGTCAGTCCCCATGTGGGAAACAAGGCTGGTGTGTTTCCTGCAGTGGTTTTTAAAGTTTTTGTGAAGGAGAGGTGGAAAGCAACTTCAGCCGAACCTAAGAGACAGCTCGATGAATCTGACCCTCACAGGCAGTTTGCCTCGTGTGCCTTCCAAACTTCTCCTCCGTTCAAGTAAGTCGATTCAGAAGCATCCATATACTGCCGTGACATAAAAGCAGCTTTCCACAAGGACTTACCGTGCAAAAATCCATGCGTAACTGAGAGTTTTCAAAGTGCTGAGAAGAAAATCAGTGCATGGGTATTCATGCAAAAATAAGAGGAGGCTGTTCTTGATGTGTGACTGGACTGCAACAGGCACGTGAACACGTGAAGAACTTAACGGGCCAACTGAAGACAGGTTGGAGTCCTGGCTTCAAGTTCTTCCCCCACCCCTCTTCAAAAGGAAACAAGGCTGGGAGTGCCTCAGGAGGATGGCTAAGCAGCTTGGGGATTACTGGGTGAACTGGGAGACTGTGAGTCTAACAGTCATAGATCAGATGAAAGACATGTCGATAGGGACCAGCATAGGGAAAGGAAGAGTTTTTAACATTTTAGCATCTTTTGGGCAGTCCTGGTAACCTGGAATGAGGCTCGTGCCTGTTCCCAGTGCTGACATACCACCTCCTTCTGTTTTACTACCTTGTTTACACTGTCTTGTTTGGACTGAGAGGTCTTTTCAGTCCTGTTAACCATTGAACTGCTGTATCCCTAAGCCGTCACAAAACAGTGATGACTTAAACTCCTCTTTAATTGCTTCCAAACACTGTTTATGAGTTATGAGAGATAGTTTTAGGCTAAAAAGATTGAATTAGATGACTTTAAAACCTAATCATTATTTTAACGGTTATTACAAGTATATAGAGGAAACTGAGTAATAATATGCGGGCCTAGAACATAGTTTATAAAAGGTTACAAATCATTTGGATTATTTAACTGTGCATAATATGTAAGTCCCCATAGTTCAGAGACTCCAGTCATAGTTAGCTCTTTGTTATTGCTGATCACGAGGAGGACTCTGGGGTTATTAAAACAACTGGATAACATGCATACGAGCAGAGGTGTAAGCAGTTCTTTAGAGCTGTGTGGTGACTCCCTGCATCTGTGCTGTCTTCAACCCAACACCTTGGGAAGAGAGACCTGGCGAGAGCCGTGTGGCCCAACACTAAAAATTGTTGTCTCAGATTGAAACAGGACAGCAAAATAATATACTGGCGATCGAAGTGGCGACCCCCTGATTTTTTGACTGAACTTGACCCCCTGAACTTTTGTGACTTGTGGCTCCTGAGGTGCCCATTTTAGATAAGGAAGGAAACTAAAGCTGGTTGAGGCTTCCCAGAGACTGTACAGTGAAGGGCACTGTGCCCTGACAGGTCCCAGCAGAGGTGATCATTAGGCAGAGTAAGGGAGAGGTGTAATGAGTATGATTTGTTGCATGTCTTCACATTTCATAGTATCCTTTTACAGCTTTGGGCAGGTTTACAGGTAATGTCATGAGAATGCAGTGGCAATAGATAGTTTCAGCATTTGTAAGGTACTACTCCCATCAAATACACAATGCCTGGTGAAAACAGCTTTTCTAACAAAGAGCCTTGAGTTAATGAAAGAGCAGTAGATTTTCTGGAGTGCCCGACTGTTCATTTAGCAAACAGATGTGGCATTTACTATACCCATCTCCCAAAACAGCCATTTGTTATCACTCCTCTGCCAAAGGTTACTTGAAAAAGAACCATGAGAGCACTCCTCAGTCATAAACAGCAGCTGGTGAGGCTGTAATATCCTGAAGCCCCTGCAGCTCTTTGCTAAGTAGATGCATGTCTCTGCTCCTAGGCGTCACAGACTTTCAGGTACCTCTGAGTATCTCACCCAGAGTCCATATGTAACCTTTATTATTCATTCCTATTCTTGTGTCTCTACAGCATATAGTGATTTGGGGTATTACATTATTAATAAGCTGCACCATGTGGATGAATCAGTGGGAAGTAAAACTCGGAGGGCCTTCCTTTATCTTGCTGCCTTCCCTTTTATGGATGCCATGGTGAGTGCCTGATTCAGAACTGAATTTTAATATTAATGTTATTTTTTTGCTTTGGTGACCTTAGTTCAAGGTCTGTTACCCGATGGGAAACTGGAGGTGTGCAGAAGGAAGGTGTGTCCTTTGCAAGCAGTAGCTCTGAATATACCTGGGCATATCAACTCCTGCCACATACCTGGAAAAAGCATCTAGGTGGACTTTGAACATCCAGAGATCATGACAAGTGTAAAAACCTCAGTTACTGTATGTGTATGCTGGACAGCACTGGCCACCTTAAGCGCTGCACCTGTTGTCTATGTGCCCTCTCATTTCAATTTGTAGTGAAAGAGTGGGATTTGCCATGCATTTCCAAATCACTTGCAGAGCTCACAAGGAATAAGCTCAGTATTTTTTTTTGTTGAAAAGATATTTCTTACCATCAATTTGTGCAAGCACAGCTAAGTCCAGTATATCTCAAATGCTTGGGCAAGAGAGCCATACATGGAGTGGGCTGCTGCTTCCCAGATCACCAGGCTTACTCCTTGTGGCCTGCAGAACACAGAAATACAGCAGCTCTCTTTAATGCCTCTACTTCTGTGTAAAACTGTTAAAGGATGATCTTCTCATGGCATGCTGCTACCACTTTCTCTACCATTTCGTCTGCTTGAAACAGTAACTGACAATAAAAAGAAGTTGGACCGTTAAGTTTTCTTTTCCAGACAGGACTTGGTATAACTCAGCCAATCAATATTACACTTCAGAAGTGCATCCAGGAGAATAAATGCTTTTTCCCTCGGTTTATTTAGTATGATAATCCATGCTGTGTGGCATCTGTTTTATGAAGAAGGGGCAGTTTCTTATTAGATCTGCTCAGAATTATCTATACAGTCTGTAAAATTGTTCCCATTCTCCCTGTCAGCCCTGGCAATGGGGAACTGAATGCAGAGGTGCTTTCACAGCATTAATGACTTAACATTTGCCCAGGTTCTCACCAGGTACTGCTGGTGGAAAAGAGCTTTATAAATTGTTTGAGTACAATCTAACAACCAGAAAACGACATTCTGGGACCTGAAATCATTCATAAATATCATAATTGCTTCTCAAATTCTTCTCTGCCTTTTTTTCAGGCATGGACCCACGCTGGGATTCTGCTGAAACACAAGTACAGTTTCCTAGTGGGATGTGCCTCCATCTCAGATGTCATAGCTCAGGTAATGACTCCTCTTACTTAGAAGTCACTGTTTGCATTGTGTCATGGACTAGATGCTTTCCTAAACAGGAACTCTCTTGCACAGAGACTGCTTTTTCTCTCTACCATGAACAACACACCAGAGTAAGTAATCTTGTATACCGTTCTCTGACTGTTTCCCTGTTGTATAGAGGCTGTTTGCTGACAGTTGTGGGTGCAAAGATGACCAAATGTTGTTTGAGCTTGCATTTGTGAGGGGGGGTGTTAACTACCCTATTGCATTATATGAGACACACTTGAAAAACAACATTCATACATGTTGGTGATGGCCAGTGTTGTAGCATTTGGGAACCGATATACAGCCCTCTTTTTAAAGCATATATAAAAATATTACGAAATGGAGACTCCCAGCACCTGTAAAACAGTTGCTGTACTGCCCCATTACCAGCTGAATGGTGCAATGACTGGGTAAGAAAGAGGATAATAACAGTACAACATCAAAGAAAATATGAAGTCAACAACACTTAGTTCAATTTTCCATAATATTTTCCTCCCACTAAAGATGAGCAAACCATAAACTAGGTTGAACCACTCAGTCAGCTGCTATTCTATGTTTGGCAGGTCTGCCCCTCTACAGTACTGCACTAAATCCCTGTAGATAATACCAATTACTGTAAATGACCTTAACCCTTGGGATCTGCTCTTGTTCTGAGGTGGCCTACAAAGTTCGCTGACCGTGGGTGCATGTCAGGTCATATACAGCTAAATACAGGAACAGCTTCTTATTTTGGCCGTGGTACACACACCCTTTCCGTGATGGTTGGTGAGTGGGGTGCCAGGGTTGTATAGAATAAGACACCTGTCATCTGCTCTCAACAAAACATTGCACAGAGCAAGAGCAAATCCAGAAGACAAAAAGCTGTGGCTCTCCATACCCCAGAACTCTCTACGCCTACATCTGCTCCCTACACAAGCAATAGGTGCACAGGCAATAGCTAATTCTCCTTGGGTAGCTAACTTTGCTTGTGTGTACTGAAAAACAATTATTTTGTAACGTTTTGCAAGTCCTCATAAACAGCGTGGCCTGCCTAATAAACATTTGCACAGTGTGATTTTTCTTTAGAATTTCTTGAGCTCTAGCAATGAAGGAGAGAACCTGCCCTTGAACAATATTGTTTTGTATTTCTTGTAACTCACTTGAATGCCAGCATGTCCTGGCAGTGTTGTCCTCGATTCTGCTGTTCACAGCACCAAACACAATTGGCTTTGCAGTTGTGCCTCCCATCCAGAGACGACCGGAATTTAACAAACACGTCATCAGCTCTGTACTTAACAAAGAGAATAATATCACATTAATCAATTCCTTTGCATTTTTGGATTGGACATTTAATCTTACGAGACGGAATTATGAGCTGTTCATTAGCCCAAAAGTTTCCATTTCATTTACATCAATGTGGCACTGAGATAGCTGAAGAGAGAATGATGAAATACTGAAATTTCACTCAAAGAAGAAGAAAATTAGGATGACATGACTAACTGCTTCTAAATGCTGAAATGAATACTTTAAACTATCTGGCTTTTCGATTGCTACTGCCCTCCCTCCACCCCTCCAAAGAAAAAAAAAAGTAGGGCTTAGAAGCTGACCCTAGAAGCATGTCTCCAGCCTCAGTGTATATCAGAATAGCACATTCTCCTGGGAAGGGTGACACTCGGCCACGTGGCTTGCTGCCAGACCTAGCCAGACTTCCATGCTAACCTTCTCCTATTTATGGCTCCTAGGCTGACACGTTCCATACCTTCAAGTACTGTTTAATAGAGCTTCTGGATGATGTTAACTCTTGTTCTTCTCATTTGCGTGACCAAATGCAGGGGGAGTCCCGACTAAAGGTTCAAATGCCGCAAGGTGGAAATCAGATAGATACTGTAGTCGCACGTGGTTGTTGGTTCAGATGGAATAGCTTGGAGTCAGACAGGAGATATGTTGGCACTAAAGAAACACAAATTACTAATCATGTATTTGTTTGCCCTGCAGGTTGTTTTTGTAGCCATTTTGCTTCACAGTCACTTGGAGTGCAGGGAGCCTCTCTTGATCCCAATCTTGTCCTTGTACATGGGAGCACTTGTCCGATGTACCACGTTATGTCTCGGATACTACAGGAACATACACGATGTCATTCCTGACAGAAGTGGGCCTGAAATGGGGGTATATCTTAATACTTCGCACTTTTGTGAAATCAGTAATTTGAAACTTGCTTTTTTGTGTTGTAATACTTTATTAAACCACTGTGCATGAAGGGCCTCCTCTCTCCGTCCTGCAGGAAAAAAACATTTTCACTTAAAGAGGCATGGTAGAAACTATTCCAGCAACAGCACACATGAGGCAATGCTTCCAGTGGTATGGATGTGCTGTCTACTGAGCACCTCTGCACTGAGCTGTCTACTGAGCTGTAAGACAGCACAGCATGAACTAAGTGGACACCTTATTTCACAGGGAGGAAGGTCTCAAAATTCCTCATTTTCCTTGAATGTTGTATTGGTTTTCACATATCTTTGGTAGCCAGAACAAATTATGCAGATAGATAACCTTATGCATTATTTACTGAGATCCATGACATAGCTTCTTTTGAATCAGTATTACTAACATGAGTGAAAATATTTTAGGCTCCTCGTGTTGAAAACTATTGAAATGAATGCACCAAACTGACAATGGGTGGGAAAAGCAAAAATCCTTTCTCTGTACTTTTGGTTCAGTACTGCATGTTGTTTTCCAAACTCACGTCTTTTTTTTTTTTGTTTTTTTTCACTATGTGTTTCAGGGAGAGGCTACAATAAGGAAGATGCTGAGTTTTTGGTGGCCTTTGGCATTAATTTTGGCAACACAGCGAATAAGTAGGCCCATTGTCAACCTTTTTGTCTCCCGGGACCTAGGTGGCAGTTCTGCAGCCACAGAGGTAAGAAAGTCAGTGCTCTCCATTACTGCAAATGATCATTTACATGTAGTTACCTCCGTGTTTCCCTTTCCAGCCATGCTGACAAGTGAAAATTGTCTTGACAAGTAAAAATTGTCTTAGGTACATTCCTGTTTAGTGCTCTCTTTATCCTTTAGAAGAAGACCTCTTGGACTCTTACCATGAGTGTTTCTGCCAGGCCTAGTGGGACCTCACCCTCAGGAAGACCAGTAGAATTTTTTCACTGAACAATTCCTGTGTCCCAGGTTTTCATGCTCTACATATAGGTACACATGCTCTGGAGCATTCAGATCCCAGAGATTTTAGGACAGTCATCAGCAGTCCCATGTTCTGCTGTTTCCTGTCACGTATATTTACGTCTGTGAAAACTGATGTGAAACTACTGTTAGCAGTCAGTGTGTCACACAGAACAGGGTAGAGATTTAAGGAAGCACATAAAAAAAAAAAAATCTGTCTTCAAGTTAGGATATGAAATGCACCCCGTTTCTCTTGAGGAATTTCAGATTACTCCAGTGGTTTCCTACAGCTGATGGGAGCCAGACTTCTGATCGTATCACAGAGCCTTCACCAGTGCTCACCATGAGCTGACCTATTCTCTGAAGAAGTCTGGGGGACCTTTGCTGCCAGTTTAGGTGGGAGGATGTCTAGATCCACATAGTTATTAGCAAATCTCTCATTTTTTTTCTATAGGAAAAGCAAAGCTGTAAGATACTAAATGGAAAGGAAAATTCAGACTGCTAATGCCCAATGAACATTCTCTCAGCACTGCTAATTTTTCACATGTGATACTGTGTGTTTCACTCACTCAGGAGTTCCCAGTGGAAATACAGAGCTGTGGAGAGAGAATTTAGGAAATGTATGGCTTTTACATGTGTAAATCAGGGATCAGTCTATACATTAATAGCAGTCTCAGTACAAGGGGAGCCAGAGTGAGTTAGCAGCAATCAGTTTTGCATTTCTTGGTGACTTGAATTTAGGTGCATCACATTTCATGGCTAGCCAATTGCATTTTGTTTCTAAGAGGATGATTCCAAATACATGTCATAACTGGCGGGTTGCTGGCCTTTTTATACTAACAGTAATAGTCATATTTCAACTTTCTCTGATTCCTGAAATAATCACCTCTGAAAAGGGAGGTGCTGGCAACACAGATAACATCAGTGTCTGGAGCATCTGTTTGCACAGGAGTTGTATAGGTCCCCTGTCCAGTAACCCCAACAACTTTCAGTGTGGGCAGGACGTCCCTGTGAGGGGCTGGGCTGTAGCACGTTGATCAGCACAGCAACTCTGCTTGCACTGGCCAGCTCCCTCTGCTTCTGTTTGTACTGCCAGCACAGTTACGGTGATTGGGGTACCTTTTTTGGTGTTGGCTTTGCTGGGGGACTTTTTTACCTGTCAAATACAGGCTCTAGACATTTAGGAAAGCTTTCGTGCACCTATTTTGGGATCCCACCAGTTGAGGAAAAATACTGGAAGAAAAATAGCTGCTAAAAACTTCAGTAAATTAATCCAAGTGGAATCTAGCATACAAAATGTCATAGTGAAATATTGTTTTCTTTACCAGTTACTGTGTCTTTGCAGTCTTTTTGGACTGCATCATGAAAATAAGCAAAATATCTTTTCTATTCCTTATTTGATTTAACCCAGTTAGGTTTCATACGGATGGAAGTTCTGCTGAAAATACAATAATGAGGGGGGGATTTCAACTAAAAAGGGTACTGTCTTAAAATTCCAATTTGTTTTCTTTGAACCAATTACTTTTTCAAGGTACATTAAACATCATTAAAACTATATTAGCAGGGAAGAATCTGTCACGCTCTTTTCCTCTCTGTGGATGTCACTACTTTTCCCCCTCTTTTTAAACAGCACAGGGAACAAATTCACTTGCTACATGGTCCTGTGTTTGTACAGATCTTTTAACCCAGCAAGGACAGCAATTACATTTATAATGGGAAAATGGGCCCAGATAACCAAGAAAATGTGCAGCAAAAGTTTAGAAGTGAAATAGAGGCAGCAGTAGTTAAGTAGTTCTTAACACTACCATTACCAGATGTGAAATGAATCTGAATTTAGGCAGGTTGTAACAGATCTGAACCTGCAGACAAAAGGCAGTCAAGCACTGATATCTGGAATTAAGGGAGTCGGGCAGTTCTCCGTAGAGATGCGCGCTTCAGCTCTGAGGGCTAGAAAACTTGGAGTGACGGTGGGTTTCCAAGCAGCTGCAGGAAGAACTCCCTAAACACCCTTCCTATGTGAAAGACATGTAGTACATGTATTTGGACATTTTCTTCAGAAATCAGAACCAGCAGCAAAATCTCTCATATATCAGTACGTAGAGGGGGGGTTATGTCTTTGATGTGCCTCTTGGACTGTACTTGGGAAAGTGCAAAAGGGCCTGGTTTTAAATTGCAGGCAGTGAGTTGTTTCTCATTATAAAAATGGTCATTTGGGATTATTTTTATCTGGTTTTCAGTGATAAGCACCGAAGTGGGGAGAGTTGGGGTTTTTTGTCTTGTAAGTGCCTTCTGCCCCACAACAGCCAGTTTGATGTCCAAAGTCAGTCAGCCACAGAGGCTTACTGTTTTGTAGTCTGCCTGTCTGTCTTAAAATTGTTTCACTTATGAATAACCAAGTAAAATGCATATAAGTTAAAATTATGAAATATGACCCAAAGCTACCATGGGGTGTAAGGCATTCTGCTACTCAGATATCTGCAGGTGAAATAACTCAGGAGCTATGTGGGAGGGAGGTATTCATCTGGCTGAGGGGCACACACCAGCTCAAGTTAACTGTTACCCCAAAGCATCAGAGTGATGGTGAAACGAATAAGCTGAGTAACGTAGCTTCATGGCACGAGAGATTTCCTAAGCCTAAAATGCCAGGCCACTCTGATGGTCTTCCTGAAACAAGTAGCTTCCAGGCGCCTGCCTGGTTTCTCACTGGTCATTGGGGTGATACTGGTGGGAAACGGCACCCTGTGCTGGTTTAACTGTTCTGTTGAAAGATTTTTAGTCCATGTTTCCCTGTCTCTTTTCATAGGCAGTAGCGATTCTGACAGCTACGTATCCTGTGGGACACATGCCTTATGGCTGGCTGACAGAGATCAGAGCAGTATACCCTGCTTTTGACAAGGTGAGTGCCCGTGTTAGGGGTGTAATAAATACCTTTCATATGGTTTCACATGCACGGTCCTCCTCTTTCTCCCTGTTACAACATTTTAATTTAGGGGTGGCTTCAGAGATGTCAGAGGAATTTCTGTCAAACATGAAGAAAGTTAGTTTATGGCTCCATAATCAAGTGGAACAGATTCTTTAAAAAATAAACCAGAGTTTAAATAGGGCTCCATTAATGGCCACCTATTGTCTTGCTTCTCTTTACTTTTGCTTCTGATGCCTATTGTTCCTTGTCCCACTGATAAGGTTTTCTTAAAATCCTAGTTAAAATTAATTGGGTTTTGGTGGCTTCAAGCTGTTGTCTGATTTATGATTTTAACCTTAGCTCTGTGTTGCAAGGTATTAAGCTACCTTTTGAATAGGCAGGTTTTGTAATTTTAAGGATTAGAAAAAGTCCTCACTTACTCACTAAGATGTAGCTGCTTAGCTAAATAAGTGATTTCTCACGAAGTGTCCATCAGTGAGTGAGCAAGCTCACATTGCTGCTCCAGATTCTGCGGTACGTCTCAAAGGGGTTTGGGTTCATTTGATTATGTTAATATTTAGTAAAGGTTGTTTCCTAGACTGACAGTAGCACAGATAACATACATTATTTTAGTAGTACTGACTTAGCTGACCAAGACTATGAAGATTTTTGTTGGCAAATCACATAATTACATAAGAATGCAAGGACTGCTCCTGGAACTGAGCACAGAGTAAATGTATAACCAAAATTAATATTGTTTAGACCCTTTTTTTGTTCTGTTTTAGGACTGGTACTCATTAGCCTATATGTTGTGTGAAGAACAGTCATGTCCTGTGACACTAATTCCAATGCCAGATCCTCTCCTTCCCTTTATTTTTCAATTGAACTTTCTGGTTCCAAATATTGATGAAAAAATGTTTGCTTGCTCTGGGATGTACTTAACCGAAGCAAACCCTGTCTGATATGATCCACTACATTTCCAAGGAGAATTTGAAAACAAAACAAAGAAAAGTCAAATCAGTTATAACTTCCTAACCTGCCTGTACACAGCTAAATTGACCTGTCAGATAAAATAAAACATGCAGGCTTTCTCAGAGGTCACACTGCTGAAAAGGAACTGCAGATGCAAAACCAATAAACTGCAAGATAAAAATGGTTTGGGACAGGAAAGACAGGGGCTGCTAACCTCATCTGTTACGAGCCACTATCAAATGCACTATTGCCAGGCAAAATTAACGGCAATTAAGACTCCTAAATTCCGGTCTTATTTAGCTGGTGGAAGATGTGCTGACAATTTCGGTGCTGACAGGATTCGACTGTGACTTTTCTGTTTGTTTATTTCAGTTAAAAGGTTTCTCACAGTGCTCTTGTGGAATAAACGCGAGGAAGAAAAAGCTAGGGTAAGGCACAGATAGGTACAGTTTATCTAATTGCCAAAGAAGTATACAGTGGGGATTTTAGTTGGATGTTTTAAGAGCAATTTGGCATAAAATGTGCTAAGTGAGACAGCAGCAGTATAAGGGGCATCTCATCCTGGCAACCACATGTGCAGATGTCTCCACCATACCTTTCAGACAATAAATACCAAACCAGAAGTCCACGGTGGTTGTTTTTTTTTTTTAGATTGCTGTGAGAATTGCTTTACCCTCAGTCACACGTCATTCGCATGTCGCCGAGCCTTTCAAAAGCATTGTTTCCTTAAGCTAAAGCTTTCTCAGAAGAGTCCAGATAGAAGCACATTTTAGTTCCAGACATCGTAAGCCTCCATTGTGATTCTCAGATGCTGAAAGGGTTTGCACGCATGCAGACTCCCATTTTCTTTTGTCATTTACTCAGAAGCCTGGCAATACTGATGGCTGTCAGAAGCACACTGCATTGCCTTAACTGACTGATGGGATTTGGGATCCAGATACTATGCCCTTCTTGAGTGGCTCTTCTGGAGAAGTCAGATTCTCGTCTTCACGGGGAAATCGTTACCTCTGCTCATATTTGTAAGAGAGATGCACGGTCCTGCTTCAGTCTGTTATGAGATGCCATGTCCAGAGCAACCTCACGGCCTAGCAGTTACACTCAGGTTAAGGGTTACTACTGATTTTCTGAAAGAAAGCAAGCATAATCTAGCTCTGTGCTCTCTTTGCTGTTTTATATGGTGATAATACCATTACTCTTAATGGACAGTGGCATGTGATTCAGAGCAGCACCACCGACTGTGAGAGGACTTGTGAATGCTGTTGATCTGGTTAATAGATGGGAATGGATACTCTTGCTCCGAAGTCTGCATCTTGTTTTGATCCAAGAACTGAGCAGCGTGCAGGAGATAGGAATAAAGGGTACACAGTCAAAAGTTACAGCAAAGGGTGGAATAGAGCAAGGGCAGAGTTAGCAGCAGCGAGGTAGGAACGAATGAGAGCCCTTTTTCTTTGCAGCCCTTTTGGATGGCTGGATTTGGGTGTGCTTTCCTTCTTCTCTGTTATTTTAGCCTTATTAGAAAGTTGATCCATGCAGCAGAGTTTGCTTAAACACTGGTGAGCAACATAAGCAAGGCCTGTCCTCACATATATAAAAAGTAACAGTAACAAAGTTTTTCTTCAGAAACAGAAGAAATAAGAAGAGGTGCATGAATAAAATGTTTACAGAGAGTTTTCATAGCGTGTTCCCAAAGGCAGGCGTGGGAGTAGCTTCCTGCTTTAGGGCCTGGGTTGCCTATGTGCATCTTCATGTAACCAAACTTCCAAGCAGATATTTAGGCAGCAGGACCAAGTGCTATTGCTGCACGGATCACCACAAAACCTTTACATTGCAAAATACTTGAATGCGTATGAAATCATGTATCCTTCACAAAGCTCACGTTTGGTTTGTCCACTCCTGAGATGTGTTTGCATAAATTCCTATTTCTTTCACGACGAGCTTCAATAAAGGAGGCTGACTGTGTGACGGATACTGCTGTTCTACCTGAGTTACATCAAGGATGAATAAATGTTGTACTACAACACATGGTACAGGTTTTATCAACATGGGGACATATTTGGGTATCTCAGACAGCCCCAGGGTAAATGCAATAGATGGCCCAATAGCCTATTGCTGCAGGGCTCCTAATGGTGCCCTGCTTTTGATACACCATCCTCTCCTTTCACAGACCATTTACTTTGTTTTCATGTGTTCCCCAAGGGCAGTTTTAAATCTTAAGCTTCATTTGCTATATTAGACATTTGGAAGAGGTTTTTTGTTGTTTTTTTAAATAAAACTTCGCTGCCATGTGAGTACGGAGCCCATGTTCAAGGTGGAACATCTAATAGTCCTAATTATGTTCTGTTCATTAAACTGCATTAACGGAGCCAGCTGTTCCAGAAGCTTTGTTTATATTACCTGCTTGTCTAATTGGATCAGTAAGGGTACTTGCATTCGTGTATGGATTTGTTACCACCCTGTGGTAAAAGGGAATGAAATCCCATTTTTCCTGAGAAAACTTGCTACAAACTTTAAACTACGATTTAAAAAAATCTCATGGAGTTTCCTTAGAAAGAGCTATTGCTCTTTTTCAAAGCTGAGTTTGTTAAATTGGACTTATTTCTTAGAAAAGTAGGGAGATTACTCAGCTCTCAGTGACCATAGGAGCAGCTGTTGTCAGTTTAAGCAGAAAATATTCTGTGGTGGTACAAATTACTGAGAAAGCTCTGGGTTAAAAAGCAAACAAGCGAAGGCAGACATGCAGGGGCACAGACAGTCAGGTCCAACACATGACCCTGGTGCCGTCACCCTCCCAGTAGTCTGGAGCCAAGCTAATGCTCGTTATCTCTTTCTCTTACCCTAGAATAACCCCAGCAATAAATTGGTGAACACCAACAGCACCGTCACAGCGACACATATCAAGAAGTTCACTTTTGTTTGCATGGCATTGTCCTTAACGGTAAGAAACCTTTGTCCAACTCTCTGGCTTTCATCTCAACCAGAAAATTCTCTCCTCTACCAAATGCTAAAAGCAGCAGCTGTTCAAGAAAGGTGAGTTGTCTTTTCTTATGAAGCTCTGTTGCTTTTATCTGGAGGAAGGAGTGTGATCACAGTACTGGAGTACTAAGAAAATCAGCTGTCATTAACTCAGGCTAGATATTGTAATATCTAGAGTTATGTTATTTAATTCTCACTACTTTTCATTTCAACTCAGCCTCCACATGCAAGGAGATATCAGAGATCTGCTTTTCTTTTTGAATCTTTTTTTTAACAAACAAAACTTCTGGCAACCGGCGTGTCAGGAAAATTAAAAACCACGTTTGTCTCATGTGCAGTGGGATGGCAGCCTGTCCCCAGATGTCCTTCATCTCCTGTGAACGGTGGGAAAGGCAGCATGTGTCAAAACTGCGGTCGCTGTTCCCTGCTGCCTCACCTGGCACTGGTCTTCCATGCTGGGGGTACTTCTGTGTGTGTTAGGTTTGTTTCCTCCCAAAGTGAGCTAAAAAAGGCAGTGTCAGAGACAGTGCTGACACTGACAAAAGGATCCAAAGCCTTCTCTGTGCTGGGAAGCATTGCAAGGCGCTGACATTCAGGGAGGAATTTTGCTGAGCCTGCAGCATTTTAAAACGACCAGCTCACACACGTACGTACGGTGCATCTTCCCCAAGCAAACTGTTTCCACACAAGGCTTCTTAGCAACAAACAGGCAGTCGTGGAAGAAAACTCATGCAGGCGGTGGGGATCATAGGAAATAACGGAGCAGATGACCGGGGTGAATCCAACTTCTGCTTCTACACAGGATGGATTTGCATTAGTGCTTGGAGCTGGTCAAGTCACCATTATGCATTAGCAACCATTCCTCTGTCCATAACGGTCATTAGCAGCCTTGTGATCTGGGCACGGTGTCCTAAGGAGTCCTGGGCTGGCACCATGGCCCATCACGGCAGGGCCCCATCAGCCGGGGTCTGTCCCACCACCCCAGCCCGGAGCGGGGCTGCCGGGGGGGCACCGGGGCAGCCCCGGCATCGGGCACCTCCCTGGGGACGGGCACTGGCCAAGGCTGGGCAGGGACGTGGGGCAGGCAGGGCAGGGCTGTGGGGGGCTGGAGAAAGGCCCTGCTGTGGGGCTGATGGCCCTGGGGGGGTGACATGGGGTCCTGAGCTGGGGGGAGCCCCGGGGGATGGACAGGGCTGGGCAGTGGTGCCCTCAGAGCCACGACAGCTCCTCTCCTTAGCACCTGCACCAACAAGACAAAAGCCGAGGGGAACCTAGAAAATAAGTTTCTCAAAGAAAAAGGGCTTCCTCACACTAGAAAAGTAAGTGGGAAATGCTGCAGTTGTTTTAGGAGGTGATGCACAGTCCTAAAATGGAATCTGTCGATATCCCAGGCACATTTTCTCAAGTGGGAAATGCTGCAGTTGCTTTAGGAGGTGATGCACAGTCCTAAAATGGAATCTGTCGATATCCCAGGCACTTTTTCTCTTTGTCCCCAGCTCTGCGTACCTTCCATGGGGTATATGGCTGCTTTGTAAGTCTCTTCACCCCATGTTCACAAATTTACTGTGGAGTAACAGAGGGTTGACATAATTCCTCTCTCCCCTTCTTTTCAGCGTACAGCCTTTTGACTGAGTCACACTTGGCCTAAGAATGGAGGGAAGCTAATTTACATCAACAGAAACTTTACAGTAAACGAGTCTGCAGTATTTGCAACCATCCCCACCCCCTTGTCCCAGTCTGAGAAATGGGTTATAGTACTCTCGGTCTTATTTCACAGTTGAAAATGAAGCAACTCAATCCATCAGTAGCTGAATTAGGAGATTTCTTCTGCTCTTTGTTGCCTTTACTTTCTCCCTAAACAGCTACAGCTGGCTGCTATCAAAGACAGGATTGCTTGAGCCAGCGTGGCATTTCTTCTGTCTATTCATTTCCTAGATTTAAGACTGAAATCTTTTTTTCATGTGGCTTAGAGGCCAGCAGTTCTTGCTCTAACTTGTATTTCCTACAGCATATAGGAAATTGGCCATTGAATTGGCCATTGTCTGGAGACTTTCCGCAGCTCTCATGTTATCTACCATCACACACCTTGAGTTTTTCTCTTGTGTGTTGTGCCAAGCCAGGGTTACATTCTCTACAGCTGGAGCCTCCCTTGAAGTCTGTCAGTATTGTTAGAGACCCACAAAGGGGAAAGCTTTCCTCTTCGTAAATTATTTTGAGAATACTATTTCAGTCTCAAAGCTTTCTCTGAACTGACTATTTTCTTAACCCTTCTGGGCATTTATCAGGTTACTTGGTCCTGATAGGTGATGAGCTTCTCATGTTACCATCACCATCCTCTGCAGAGTAATTTCTAATTACTGCAATAGGCTTTTGTGTTGTAACTTTACAGGATTTTTTTTCCAAAAGTTCTCCAGTTCTTTCATAAGCTCATCATGAGATCTTTGTCTGCTTTGAAATACCAGAAACACTTCTGAGGTTAACAGCTTTTCCCGTCCTGTTTCTATTTTTGCCTACTAGTGACAGATTCTTAGGATTGCTTGTCAATGGACAGAGCAAAAAAATAGACACATGAGCTCTAAAGACTCAGTTTGATTTGAGGGCCTGAGTCTGAAAATGCTTCAGCACACAAGCTCGGTAGACATCAGTATGACTCATGTCATTATGTGCCACACGTTCTAAGGAACTGGGCTTCAAATATGCCTCTGTTGCAGGCGGGTCAGATGGCCGCTGTAGATTAACTCCAAAGGCCACTGGTGATTGCTGTGTTTTTCTGGAGGGGCTCTACTGCAGTGAATGGCAGTCAGACTAGTGGCACCACTGCTGGTAACATCTTGTTCTTCAGGATCAGAGGGAAAGTGGGAAACAAGTTCCCAGGATGACCAAAAGATCAAAGCAAGTCAAATACTTAGACGTGACGTGTCTAAGTATTATTCAGTGGATCATCTATAGAAGTATTCCAAAGGATGGAAAGATACAGGAAGGTTCGAGCGCACCCGCAGCAAGTTTGCTGATGACACCAAACTGTACGGTGTGGTTGACACGCTGGAGGGCAGGGATGCCACCCAGAGGGACCTTGACAGGCTGGAGAGGGGGGCCTGGGCAAACCTCATGGAGTTCAGCAAGGCCAAGTGCAAGGTCCTGCACGTGGGTTGGGGCAATCCCAAGCACAGATACAGGCTGAGCAATGAGTGGGTTGAGAGCAGCCCTGCTGAGAAGGACCTGGGGGCATTGCTGGATGGAAAACTGACTGTGAGCCAGCAATGTGTGCTTGCAGCCCAGAAAGGCAGCCGTGTCCTGGGCTGCAGCAAGAGAAGCGTGTCATCACGTCGAGGGAGGGGATTCTCCCCCTCTACTCCACTCTCGTGAGACCCCACCCGCAGTGCTGGGTCTGGCATTGGGGCCCCCAACACAAGAAGGACACAGATCTGCTTGAGCAGGTCCAGAGGAGGCCATGGAAGTGATCAGGGGGCTGGAGCAGCTCCCTTATGTGCACCAGCTGAGAGCATTGGAGTTGTTCAGCCTGGAGAAGAGAAGGCTCCAGGGAGGCTTTAGAGCGGCCTCCCAGGGCTTAAAGGGAGCTACACGAAAGACGGAGAGGGACTTTTTATCAGGGAGTGTAGTGATAGGACAAGGGGTAACAGTTTTAAACTGAAAGAGGGTAGATTTAGACTAGATAACAGGAAGAATTCTTCCCTGTGCGGGGGGTGAGGCGCTGGCCCAGGGTGCCCAGAGCAGCTGTGGGTGCCCCCTCCCTGGAAGGGTTCAAGGCCAGGTTGGACGGGGCTGGGAGCCCCCTGGGCTGGGGGAAGGGGGCCCTGCCCGGGGCAGGGGGGGTGGAACTGGATGATCTTTAAGGTCCCTTCCAACCCAAACCATTCTGTGATTGTATGATTCTATGAAGTCCATTTAACCGATAGAAAAAATAACAGCAAAACTTTTAGTCTGAGCAGCAACCACGCAGGAAAGTACTCTCTCAGTGTAAAACCCTGGGGAAACCTCCCAGTCATTGGAGATATGTGATTTCATAGAGCTGGAAGAAAAATGTCTTACCTCTTTCCACAGACCAGTCATGCCTGCACAAAAAGTAATGTAATCTACAGCAGAAACCCTTTTTCACCCTTGTGGCAGGACTGGATCAGAGTAAAATCAAAAAGGCATAGTTTGATAAGAAACATAACTTTGGTTTTGTTTTAAATCCTGATGGGATCTGAAAGGCTGCACCTGAGCCTTTCCAGCCTGACTGGGCAGCATGCAAATGTGTTCTGCTGAGTGTGATCATAAGTACTGTCTCATGGTTTTGAAGCATCAGGCTCATATTAAAGCTGCTTCTTCAAAAAATGGGAATTAGTTGTATTGCTTAGTGAAAAAAAATGTAGACAAGCTGCAAGGCTGTAAATAGAAGCCATTAGACTCCCAATATATAAGGGATGTGATTAATCACATTGATGTGGACTGGGTTGTAAGCAAGCAGTGACTCCTTCCAACAGCCCTGTTCTGTGGCTATGTAGCTGAATGTAAAATTCATATAGTAGAGGGGAGGGGCTCATCTGTAGAATTTTGCCCATACAGTTAAGGGACTGGTTCCGATTTTAGAAAACAAGGCATGCTTAGTAATTTACTCTCATCTTAAAGAGTGTGCATAATGCTGCTTGCCATTTTTTGTTACTCACTGCTATCAGGCACTTCAGGAAGAAATGCTTCTTTCTATATATAAGCAGAGATGCTGCTCCAAATAGCAGCCTTGCTGCCATTGCCAGATAAGGCTGTTGAAGAACTAAACATTTTGGTTCAATGCTAGACCTGTTTACTTGACCCTACAATTCAGCCCTGGTATCATTGCACAGTTGTAAACTCAGTGAAGACACAGACACCCAAGAAAGAAAACTGGTACATTTGTAGCACACATCCCTTTGGCTGTGGGATGTGTCAGCCTCAGTACAGTGCATAAATCCCAAAATTAAT